TCTTAGTATTTACAAGCTCATCTGCATTATCAGACCTAATTTATCTTTTGTACGGTGCAAAGTTTTCATGTCTTTTTTTGTAAGTATAATCAGAGTTGAATTAGTTTTATTTTTACCTTTACTCATTTTTTTTGATTTAGTTTTGACTTTTATATTGTTAATTTTGTAATTTTGATTTATTAGTGATGCTTTTTGATCAACCTCTTGTAGCAAGAGGCTGTAATCACTCGAAAACCTCTACCCTCATCTAATGTATCAACGCTCATCTCCTCAATGACGGTCTTGGACACTACCAACTTCACGAATCTGAAAGTGATTAAACAAATGAGCATTCTATCACCCTCCTTCAGCAGTGGAAGGTGTCGTGACTCGGCGCAACAGAATTTTGCAGCATTAGGACTTTACGCTAGATTCTGAGCTTGTCTGCCTTGGAGCAGACATCAGCACCTAAAAACTTCTATAGCTTACGCGAATTTCTTTATCTAAGCATCATACCAAATTATGTGCACGATTCACCAGTTTAGAATAATCGCAGTCTTTAAAAAATTGAAAAAACAAGATATCCAAATTACTCTCAGCTCTTGTCTATATCAAAGGCTTCTAAAAAAGAATCTACCATTAAAGCACCTCTTATTTATAGCTACTTCTTTACAAATCTTATTTTCTCTTCGTATTGTTTAGTTTTATAGTTGTTTATCTGATAATTTCTTTTTGTCTTGCACTGTTTGCTACTAGCAATGCAAATTTTTCAGAAGCTTGACATGAAATAACACTTACTGTTTTTTGCCTTACCTTCTAATCAAGAAATTAAATTCTGACTTAAACCTTGTTCAATCTACTCATACAGTTTAGTGCCGTAAACTGTAGAGTAACCTAATCCAAACAGAAGTTGTGTTTAATTTACGATAATAACAAAAGAATACCAGCCTCAAAATAGCTATGAGAATTTGATATAAAACTGTAGTAGTCACATGAGGCAAAAGTTATCTGGTTTTGTCATTCTATATAAAAAAGCCACTTCTTTTTCAGCAAAAAAAAAAAAATTTGCTGCTATTGCTGTTTTCATAATTGATGTTGTTATTAAAGTTTCGCTGAAGTAGGCTACTCAATTTTAATGAGTCAGAATTCGACATATATCCGTGGTAAGAAAGCCAAAGAAGTAGTGGCAAATAATTATAGAATTTTAACGTGTGATATTCAAAAAAATATTTTGATTTCTACATATGTGTGTGCCTATCTGTGTAAAACTGAGAACGTTCCTAAAAACAAGAATTGGTAGAATTGATTCAAAAGCAGTGAAAGTAATTGAATACTGGTGAGAAATTTACACTTCTTTTTTGGAGATTTATACGCAGTCTTTTTCCTTCAGCTATTTGAAATCAATTTGTTCTTGGTATTTCAATCTGACCATTTCTTTTTGATTATACCAATAAAAATGATGATATAAACTGTTGTTAACAATGAAAACAACTGAAATCTAATATAATTTTAAATTTTTTTCGTGTTTTGTTTCAACATGGCTTACTCACATAATTGAAATTTCAAAAATCTTTCTTTCCTATTATTTTTTCTTGTTTTCTTTTTGCTTTACGGATTGTTTACTATTGAGGGTTTCATTTTCTTTGTTGCTGCTATCGTTTTTATTTGATTAAAACTATAGTTTTTTCTTGAGCCAAAATTGTTGAAAACATCACTGCTGTTGTCTTCATTTTTTTCTTTCTGGTCGTTACAATGATGCATAAAAACAGAAAAGAAAAATAAGCGTAGTAAGCGGTAGTCTGTCAGTGTTGAAGCGTTGTTACCGATATATAGAAATATATTTATACGTACAGTAATATTTGATAATCAAAGGATAAAAGTGAAAATAAAAAAATAAAAAAACCAGAACTGCATTTAGCTGTACAAATTAATGGCTGGTTGACTAGTGGATGGACAAACTAAGATCTGTCAGAAAAAGTACTTTTTTTGTTAATTCTATTTATGCACAGTTTAAAACAGAAATGCAGTCTACGACAATGCTAAATTGTTTATTGAATATTTCGCAAGAATTTACTATGCGTGGTAAATACAGTGATAAACAAAGTGCTAAGAAGAATGCCAGATTTTTTTTCAGCTTACGGACTACGGCATACTCAAGTAGTTATACAACGCTTGGTAAAATATTTCGTTATCTGACAACATATTTCTTCACATCGTCGGCACTTTACAAAGACTGTAAGATAAATTTGACAATAACACAACTGATAGCCATTATCGTTGTGACACCAGTAATTGGAATAAACAAGGAGAAAAAAGTGACTGAAAAAAGTTGAGATAAAATAATGATACAAACTGTTTGAATGTCGTTTTTGTTTGTAAACCTAATGATAATCATTACCCAGCAACGAAAGCATTTATCCAGTGTTTGACAGGATAAAATAAAAAAAAAACTGTTGTCTGATAAACTAAAGTTCGTCAAACGTTCGGCCACCATTATTATTTCATGTAAAAAAACTGCTTGAAAAAAAAAAGTAAGCAAAAAAAAAGTTTGGTGTTTAGTTGCTGTTTTTCTCTGTTGGCTGGTAAAACTTATTTTTTGCTGGTAATACTTTCTTAGTAGTCAACATAAAAAAGAAAAAGAACTACCGCGATTTATCAGGTAAACTAAATGTCGCTGTAATTGATACCACCAACTGTGACGCAGCGTTCAACACCTTCTTTGTCGTCTCCTTTTATCAAAAATGGTAAAAGTAATTTTTAAAAAAATCTGATTTATTCTCCTTGAACAAACATTAATCTATTAAACGTTTTTTTTTTTTTTTCAAATTGATCAGATAGACTGTTAATTGTTTTTGACAAAATATTGAGGAAAACCGTTAAGTAAAA